GTAAGTGGGCACTGACAGTGTGCAGAGAGCTATGGAAAGGGCTTTGAGAAGGTGGTGTGAATGGTGTCTTACACTGGGACAGGTGGTGAAGGAGGAAATCTCTGTCTTACCCACCTCCCTTTGGAAACCAACTGAGAGCTTGGAAATGACAGCAGGCTCTGGGCTCAGTCCTGGGTCCCCAAAAACTCATTATGTGACTTTGGCCAGATGCCCTCCCCTCTCTGACCCAAGTTTTTCTTTAGTATGGTGCAGTGAGGTGAGATGAAGCTTCAATCTTTATTGTCCACAGTCAAATGACTTGGCTTGAAAGAATCCACGTATCTCATTCCCCTGTAGAGCCATGATTTTCTCCACTATAACCTGGGCTCACCAATCCCCAGAGAACTGTTTCCCAGAGCTGCCATGAATGCTCTGGAAAGACAAAACGTTGTTTTCCCTCAGGTGCAGGCCTGTCAGAAAGTTGTGGGATGTCAAAGATGATCCCAAATTCTCTGCTTTCTCCACGCTTATCCCTCTCCTTCTTGCTGGGCCTCCTCCCCAGACCCTGCTCTCACTCCAAGTCAGTCATCTCTGCACAAGGTATAAATACAAAAAATAAATAAACTCAGAGTGAGCCCCAGAACTGAAGCAAATTGCTGGCAAGCTTTGGCTGCTGATTAGCATGCATAGTGGACGTGCAACTGGGCATGTCGAAGAGCAGTGCATTTTTCTGCAGGATGGAGCTATCAGCGTGGGCCGTGTTGGGGAGGGAAGCAGATGGAAAGGAGGGAGGCAGTCACAGAAGTGGTGCTCCTGCTGCACCTAGGAAGCTTGACAGCCAGGAGGGCCCCAGGCTGCTCTCTTGGGCTGCCCTGTTCCCTATCCATGTTCTCCAAACCTGAGCAGGAGTTTGCCTTCAGCAAGCTAGAATCTGGGGCCCACATGAGGAAGAAGGAATCCCCGGGGGGAGGGGGGGGGCACAGACAGGTCCTGGGTTGGGGTTAGCTGAGTGATCTTGGACAGCTGGTTTGATCACTTCCAATCCTCATCTGTAAAAGGGAGGGGAGTAATAGTGTCCATCTTCTAGAGTAGTGAGGACTCATGGAATTGAGGATTCTAGCAGAGATGACCCCATGCCGGCCATAGCACAGACCAGGTGATCCTTCTGCCTTCTCCCATCCTACTGGAGCAGCCATCCTATGGCCTAGGGGACAGCACAGGAAAGAATGGAGCAGCAAGACCATCAGGGAAAAATGGGCAGGAAACAAAAGAATGCAAGCAGCCCCGAGGTTGAGGGTCGGGGTGCAGCTCAGTGGCTGAGCACTTGTGTTGCATGGGCAAGACCCTGGATGCCATCCCCAGCCCTGAAAAAGAACATAGCTGAACATGGCTGCACATGCTTATAATGTCAGCTACCTGGGAGGCTGAGGCAAGAGAATTCAAGTCTAGGCCTGCTTGGGCTACTTAGTGAGAGCTAAACTCAAAACACAGAAAGGGCTGGAGATGTAGCTCAGTGCAAGGCCCTGGGTTCATAACCTGTACTAAGAAACAAGTGAAACACATCCCGTTTACTGTTTTTTTTTTTTTTTTTTTGGTTGTAGTTAGGTTGATTTTTAATGTTTAGATAATCAATGGAAAGATGGTTGTTGTCATTTCTTTTTTTTTATTTTATTGAGAAGCAAATATCAATGAGACAGTATCAAAGCTGATTAATAGAACATTTTCAATAATTATTATATTGTATGTTGTTATCTTCTTAGTGGTTATCCACAGTACAAGAAGCAGACAGGATATCCTGTCCAAACACTATTACTACAAATCTATCTTCTCATTGAATTAAGCGAAAGTAGCTGTATATCTATCCTATTCTGTATATACAAATACAAAATGGTCCTTCCTTTGTAGCCCCTTTTTTTGTTCAGTCCTGTCAGAGATAGGAATTCTATTGGCATCTAAATACTATAGGTGCTTGAATTCAGCAAAACAATCCAACACAGTCCAGTAGTCCACAATAGTAGTGGCTTATCCGCAGAAGTTGTTCACTAGAGCATTTTACAGCTCAGCATATTAATATGGCTTTATTTTATATACCTCGTTTTTATACTTTTCTGCTGGATGGTTAAGACCAAGACAAAGCAAGACCTATATAACAAGAAATGTAATGTTTGTACCTGATAAGGTCGGTCAAGTCCCTTCAGGATTTGTCCTGTAACCCTGTACCACAGTTGTAGATTCTTTGTCAGTGTCAGCCATGTGGATGAGTCATGGCCAATGCTTGACCAATTTGTTCTCTGTGAAAGCCTGAAAATTTTCTCTCCATGTGACTCTCCTTAGGCACATTCTACATCATCAATCACATTCTTCTGTGGCTCCATAATCTCCTTGATAAAAAAATTTTGGGCACAACTGAGTTACATGTTGTTACAGTACAGGTTCTCCTATGTCCTCAGTCTTCACTGACCTTGAAAGGCTAGGGCCAAAATGTTGGCTGACCTTGCAGCCCTTCCTTTTCTCCAGTTTTTGATCTGCAAACTTAGGTTGTTAACCCTCCAGAAGAGAAGCTTATTATTACCTTGCAACATCTGCAGCTCGAGGAACCTAATAGTCATAAGCTTGTGTAAATAAATAGCTAAATGTGTAAAGCAAAAATAATGTGGGAAATGTGATAAAGCTGTGATAGTATAGCACTTGAATATTTCTAGAATTAAATCTAGTAGAAAAGAATGTAAGGAATTGAATAGTGCATGCAGCAAACTTAACTATACATGCATATAAAAGGAAACGTTTTAGGGAGAGCATGGTGATGCATGCCTGTATTAATCCCTGCACTCTCAAGGCTGAGGCAGGAGAATCGCCACAAGTTCAAGGCCAGCCTGGGCTACAGTTGTGAATGCAAGACCAACCTGGACTACATAGCAAGACCCTGTCTCAAAACGAAAAAGAGGCCATATGTATGGCTTAGTGGTAGAGCATTTGTCTAACATGCTCAAAGGCCTGGGTTTGATTTCCAGCTACACACACACACACACACACACACACACACGTGTACAATTTTAAATTCTAACAATAGGTTTTTGAAAAATGTCCAAGGAACTTTGGTTAAAGTTTGTCAGTATCAGACTGGGTGTGGTGGCGTGTGCCTGTAGGCCCAGCTCTTGGGAGGCTAGACCCTGTACTAAATACATTTAAAAAAAAAAAAAAAAAAAAAGGTTTGTCAGTGTTTAAGGTATTTGGCCATAAGAAAAATTTCTGTAGTTGGGAAAAGTTGAGATTTTACATGGTATATTATTGGGTAATAACAGAAATTACTTAATGATCAGATGATTTCTCTGAAGCTTGGTACCCATGGATGGCTTCCCTGTCCTTGTATTTGTTTCCACTGAAGAATTATTCTCAGCATATTCTTAAACTGCGAAACTGGTAACAACAAGGAGCTTATTCTATTTCTGGCCTTATATTATTGAAATGCCTTTATGTTTCAACTTGGTGTCTTTTGTGACTACTGATGAACTAGGTTTTCTTAGTGCCAGACAATACTCACATCTATACCCAGATCTCATCAATGACACTGTCAAACTTGACCTGATAGTTTAGATTGATATTTGTTCTCTTTTAAATCTGCTAACGTTTTATGAATATATAGGAAATTTCAAATTGTATTAGGCAAAATTCAAAAGAAACAAAAACATCTAATACAGAGGTAATGTAAGTAGCATATTCTCATATATAGTGATTACAAGCAAGAATTGTTATACCTTTTAGGACAATAATTTGGCAGTTTTATTAACAATGAAAATTTTTTTACTCCTTTTTGGCCCAGTAATCTTCCTCTTAAGGTTCTGTTCTTAGAAATAAAAGCACAAATAAGGTCATAAGTGAAGAGTACTTATTATAGCAGTGTTTTAATGCCAACCATTTTAAAAACAGAAAAAATGTTAGTAGGCAGAAAATGGATTCCTCTATAGGTTGGAATATTGTGCTACATGAAAAAGAGTGATTTTAGGCTAATGCCTACCTAGATGAAGTAATTTCTACAAGATTTTATTTTTTTGGCGGAACTGGGGATTGAACTCAGGCCCTTGCGCTTGCCAGGGAAGTGTTTATTCTACTGAGCCATCTCCCCAGCCCTACAAGATTTTATTGAATGAAAAAAGAAATTGTGTAACTACAGATTATTTAAGAGAACCGTATGAATGTTATAGGCTTGTGAGAATGAAGAATAATAGTTGCTGGTGGTTAAATATTTATCTTGGTTGGGGTGAGTGGGAGCAGTTGGAGAGGATAATAACAAAGGGGAAATGTTCTTTAGTTAAAGCCTGTCTATGATCATATCTATAGAATTTTGTAAATGTGTATGTTTAAAATATTAGGTAAATATTTAAAATAAAAATGACCTATTTCTTTTCTAAAAGTGATAGTTTAATTTGTTCATGTGAAGTCCATAGAAACTCTTAAAAGCAAAAGCAAAACAAGCATAGTAGATAGTCATTAAACTTTTTGATGCTAAATACATACACCCACCCACCCACCAGTGGGAAATCTATTTGCCCATAAAACTAAGTCTGAATTGATGTAGGGTACATTCTGTGGATGGTTGACACTGCTCTTCTTTGTCTTCCTTTCATTTGTCATCCATTGTGCTGGCTTTGTATTCAGGCTTATAGTGTGAGGGCTATAGTTCTTACAGCTGTAAAATTCAGCCATACCAATCTAGAGAGAGAAGATGGTCTGTTCTTGGGTGTCTGTTATGGATTGGTTTTTGGAAGCATTTGCTGGGGAGATTTTAGGTATGCTATTTGTTCACCTCTTTTGGTTATGTTTATATCTACTTTTCAGGTGTGTGGCAAATCTTTGTTTCAAGCAAATTTGGTCACTCATTGAATATGGCTGTCTAGTCATTTTCTATTATGATGTACATTAATATACCAAATCTGCCTAATTTGTATTACATTGCTCATTAAGAAAGATTAATACATAGAATTCTGAAAACTGACTTATTTTTTTCTTTATTTAAATTACAGACTAACTGGATCTTCTGGGTTTGTAACAGATGGACCTGGAAATTATAAATATAAAACAAAGTGCACATGGCTCATTGAAGGACAGTAAGTAGAAATGGTTAACCTTTTTGTTTATCTATTTATAGGATAGTGCTCAGTGTGGCATTATTTTTCCTATAAGTGAAATTAGCAATTTATAGCATAAAGTACTAAACGTATTTATTTAGTTAACTTTTTCTTTGATAAATGAATGTTTTGATTTTTCTTAATTTTTATTGTTAATATTTTTTAAAAATTCAACTCAATGCTGCAAGTGAATTGTCAGTACCAAAAATTTATAAGTTGTCAGCATCTTCCTGTTTTTAGCCTCCCCGGCACTGAGATTACAGGCATGTGCCACCGTGCCTGGACTTGGTCCAGGGCCAAGCACGCCTGGGGGTAGGCTGGTCCAACATACGGTACTGGGGATCAAACCCTGGTCCCTGTGCTTGCCTAAGCAGGCACTTAGTATGTTGAGCTATCTTGCTGGCCCTTTAAAAGTGTTTTTGATGTTTTGTTTAAAGCTGTATAACATGGTATGGTAATATGTGTCAATTTTCTAAGTACTATTGTTCTGAGAATGGCTCCCAGGCACTCACACATGCTAGGCAAGTGCACCACCAAAACTTCAGTTCCAGGCCTTAAATGACAGAAATGTGGACAGAAACATGAGAATAAACATCACTGCCTAAGTGCTACTTCTCTGGACCTTCTGTGTTTCCCCAACTGTTTCCTTTTTTTTGTCCTCCCTTCATAGAAAACCTTTAATGCCTCATTTATCAAATTTTTTAAGTTTTAGGATCTCTCTATATTGTTAAGCTTTGAAGATTCCAAGTAACTTTTGCTTATGTGAGTTATATCTCTCTGTGTTTACTATTTTAGAAGATAAAACTAAGAAATCTGCTAATCATTCATTTAAAAATAACAGTTATAAATTCACTGAATGTTAACATAAATGTCAACTTTAATGGAAAAAGTATTAATGATTAAATTTTTATTGAGAAAAGTCACATTATTTTGTGCTTTGCAAATCTCTTCAGTGTCTGACTGTACTAAGGCTTTTTTGTTGTTGTTGTTTTATTGTTTTGTAAAATATGTGATACTTAAGCAGATTTAAGCGTGGATACGAAAGTTTCATATGAGAGGTTCCGGAATGTTAAATATTCGAGAGGTCGAAGGAGAAGTAGGTTTATCTGTTTTGGAAAATAGAAATTACAGGGAATTTTGTCAGGATACTCAGTGTAAGTGAAAAGTGGGACTGGATGGTTGAAATAATCATTGAGAATTTGCAGTTTTGAAGAGGGAGACTCAGTGGTAGGAGTGTGGTTGGAACTGGAATGCCATGTGAAGTGGTGAGCAGAGGTCAGTGCTAAAACCAGCCTGCTCAGTAGTGTGACTGTTTACAGTTCAGCTTAGGTTTCTTTAAATTTGATCTAAGTCAGAGAAGATAAATAGTTTCCTCTAAGCTAGGACTTTTGCCGGGCAGTGCTATGAAATGGCACAAGAGCAGGCAAGTTGAGAAAATTGAGAGGTGTTTGTGAAATGCTATACTATAGAATTTTAATTGATTAAGGGTGGAAGCAGAGATATGGATTGGTTCAGAAGCTGTTAAAGACTGGCTGCTAAATAGGCTGTAAGTCCTGCGGAGTCACAGACCATGTGTATTTTGTTCTTCATTGCGTGTTTAATGATCTTTTATACACAGGAATACTAAATAAATCTTTGGCAAATGAAGGAATGTTGTTTATATATTAATTTCTCCTTGTAAATTCTTTAAAAGCCTTACTTTTTCAAAGGTTTGTTATAATGATTATTATAAATTACCTTTTTTGTTGTTTTTAGGCCAAATAGAATAATGAGACTTCGTTTTAATCATTTTGCTACAGAGTGTAGTTGGGATCATTTGTATGTTTATGATGGAGACTCAATTTATGCACCACTAATTGCTGCTTTTAGGTAAGCTCAGTCATGTAATTATTAGGCAATCATTGTTTGATTTCTAAATTTAAATGTATCTCTTGAATTGCATTATTACTATATTTATTTTATTATCTCCTGGAATTTTTATTTTATGGAATGATTACTAGTTATGGAGTCTACCACTTGTGTGCTAGTCCCAATTTGGTTTCTCTAGGTACTTGATGGTAGTGGTAAAGCTCATATTTTGTAATAAATCATATTTCTCTGAAAAATCTTAGAAGCCATATTAATTTTCTTTTTGTGTGTTCTTGAGTGCATAGTCCTTTAGGAATTAATTTTTTTTTTTTTTTAGGACAGGGTGTACAGGCTCTCACTGTGTAGATTGGGCTCATAGTGATCCCCTTGTTTATAGCCTCCCAAGTGCTGGGATTACAGGTGTACCACCACGCCGTCTCAGCTCGCCCCAGGGGTCAGGGCCGGCACATCACGCATGGAAATCAAACTCCTGGACCCTGCATCTGCCTAAGCAGGTGCTTTAATCTGCTGAGCTATTTGGCCAGCCCAGGAATTAAATGTTGAATTCAAATACAGTGTTGTGTATACACATGCACATTTATGTATACGCATTATTATGGGTGAGTGGAACTTTTTAGAAGAATACATATAAAATCAACAGTGGTTACCTGCTGGGAATGAGAACATACCAGTTATGTGTAGTGATTTTTTTTGTGTGTGTGTGTGTTCTCAAAGATTATTTATTAGCTGTCTCACACATGGTGAGAATTTTTTTTTTTTGTTTCTGTGTGTTCTGTTTTTTGATACCAGGAATTGAATTCAGGGCCTTGTGCTCGCGAGGCAAGTGCTGGGCCCCTGAGCTATATCCCTAGCAGAATTTTTTTATATTATTTTATATTAGTAGTTAAAATGATTTTACCAACTGTATAGGACATTCTGAATTTGTTTTGGTATCTTAGGTTTTTTTCAGTAAGAGCAGTATTGTTTATTCTAAATGAGAATTCAAAACTGTATTTTTGTTCCTTTTACATGGTAAAGTGTTCTCAGTATGTTTTCAAAGGATATATCACCGTGGGGAACCATAGTTATCAGTTTTTCATCTGCAACTGACTTTCTAGATGTTTCTCCTTCAAATGTTTTATTTCCTTGACTTTAAAAGAAATCAGGCCAGCAAATATTTTTTGTGTTCCTCACTGGGGGCTGGCCTAGTTGATGTTCCATGGTGGTGAGGGAGATAATAAGCAGTACATAAGAAGCCGAGGGACAGGAGGTCAGGAGACTGATTTGCCCTTGTATTTTTCCACTCTTTTTGCCTAGTGTGTAATCTGACCTGTGTTTGAACTGAGAACAAGACCATTTTCTGGAATTTAAAGTTTTACATACAGGCCTAAAGAGCAGGCTATGGATAGGCCATGCCAAGCCTGAAAATTGAGCAAGTGTTAGGCATAAGTATCTTTATACCTGATTTTGAAACACCCCTTATGTTATGGCAAGAGCCACCAAAAGCTTTAACACAAGCACAAAAACTAATATGATGTCATCTAGGAGTACTTAAGGGTTCACTTGTTTTTGCATTTATTAATGAGAATTCACGTAGTCCATGTTGTCTGCTGGCATTTTGAATCAGCTTGCCAGTGTTCCTTGTAGGAATATGGGCCAAGTAGGTGTATATAAATCCACAGTTCATCTGAACTAAGTATTTTGATGGGCAGGCATACGAAGTAAGAAAATAAGAAAGCTATAATTATTCTAACCAGTGACATTTAAGAGGAGCCAAATTATGTATATAGTAAGTTGGCTAGTGGTGTAAGTTAATGCACTGATTATTATTATTATTATTATTATTATTATTATTATTATTTTGTATTTAGGACAGGGTGTACAGGGTACATGGGGTCTCACTGCATAGATCGGACTTGTAGTGATCTTCTTGTTTACAGCCTCCCAAGTGCTGGGATTACAGGTGTGTGCCACCACACCCAACCTCAATCACCATTTCAGCTCACTCTGGGGCTGGGGCCAGCATGGCAGGCCTGGGGATCAAACTCGTGGCTCCTGTGTCTTTAATGCAGTGATTAAATTTAACTCAATATATATTTAAATGTGAATTTCCTAAAAATATAGTAAGCAAAGGTGAAAAATTAAAATTTGCTTGAAACACTGATATGAATAGCCATTTGAAAACTGCTGTTTTAGGACATATTGAGGCCTCCACAAGATGGCTTGCTCTGGAGTACTGTTGGACCAGAGAAACCAACCTAGAAATCATGAGTTGGGGGTCCACGGTGGAGAGGGCCTGACATTGGCTAGCTCTGCTATGGCCATAACAATACAATAAAGAAGAGCCATTCCATATCCACAAGGTGTAGACTTCAAGTCTACGTTCTGCCCACGTCTTTGTGAGAACTTGAATAGGTTATGCAGGTTCTTTGGAACTCAGTTTCTAAAACCTAAGATGAAGACTTTGTATGTTCTCTCTTTATCTCAGTGGTGGCAAATCTTTTAGTGCTTTTGTTGACAACAGATGTCCTCCTGTGACATACATGCTGTAGATTTGCCACCACTGCTTTATACTGTCTTTTCTCTGAGTGCATTACCAACTGTGAAGCATAATTCAACTCCAAACTGCTGGATCACATTTATCTTTTTATATGTTGAAGTTCTAAAAAACCCAGTTTAATAAAACAGTTCTATTACCAGACAAATGTAAGAACCAGTAGAGCAACTTAAGACTCTTCTCACTCTCCAACATTATGATTTTGTCGTTTGGTGGGTGCATGTGTGGAGCAGCTACTTTTGGTAGGGAGCTGCCAAGATGGTAGTAGTGATGGAGTAAGGGAGTGATTTTTCTCCCTAAGAACATTTTTCAAAAGAACAGTTCCTTTCAGAGTTACTACTTTTTAAAGAAAGTTATGTTTTTTTGTTTTTAATGTATTTGGTACAGGGTCTCACTAAGCAGCTTGGACTCGTACTGTTCCTCCTGTTTTCAGCCTCCCCAGTGCCGGGATTACAGAGGTTCATGACCACACTTGATCTCTGTGGTGGTGGGGCCGGCACGGCCTGCACAGTCTGTGGTGCTGGGAAGAAAGTTATGTATTGATGAGCCTACCTGGCTCCCATTTGAAATCATGGTCGGACTGTGGCATGCTTAAAGAAAGTAACCAAATGAAGAGACATACTTCATATTCTTAGATTTTCCTTTCCAGACAAAAGTATAGACTCTGCAATTTGCCTTACTTTCTACATCTTTCAGCCCTTGAAGAGCCCATAGTCTTGCAAGGAGACAAGCATGTCAAATTGAGGATTATTAGTAAGTTTACACAGTATAGTTTGTAAAGTTATGTGTCTAGAGAGCTCATGTTTGTCTGGGACAGGGATATTAAGGGCTATAGTTTCAGGGCTGTTAAAAAAGTATCTAGTTTTGCCAGCCACAGTGGTACATGACTATAGTTCCGGAGAATCTTTGGGAAGATTGCAGATTCAAGCCTAGCCAGAGCAACTTAGTGACTTAGCAAGACCCTGTCTCAAAAGAAGAATTTAAAAAAGAGCTGGAGGGGCTGGGGAAATGGCTTAGTGGAATAAGCATTTCCCTGGCAAGCATAAGGGCCTGAGTTCAATCCCCGGTTCTGCAAAAATTAAAATAAAATAAAATAAAGTAAAGTAAAGTAAAATAAAATAATGAGCTGGAGGTGTAATTTAGTGCAAAGGCTCAGAGTTCAATCCTCAATATGCACTATCAAAAAAATTATGTAGATTTCAAAAGCTATTATAAAAATAGTGATGGTTTCTGTTTAAAATATAAAAACATGAACATTGTTCAAGTAGAACAGTTGGTTTCAGCCTGAACTGCACATACTTTTACATTGTACCTAACATCTGCTTGGCTTGCACGAACATATATTGATCTTCCTAGGGGCAAGGATAGAGAGGCAGACTATCGTTCAGTAACAGCTGGTAGGCATGCCAACAGCCTCACTTTCTCATCCATATGCTTTTCATTTCCTTGTGTGCTGAATGAGGCTGTGTTTGTATTAATTTACTCTGTAAAGGTTTATTTTTGTTGTAAACCAGTTATTTTTATACTGGGAGAAGTCCAACAGCTCTAAAACTGTCACAGTTTCAAGTGTTTGAAGTCAATGGAAGCAAATGCCTAAGCCTCTCTGACAGTGAAGAGGCTGACCAATTCATTTTCTCCAGCTTCATGTAGTTATGGTTGGTAGAATCTTCACTGTGTGCCCTTGATTGCTCCCACCATATAAAGACCATCAGCCGTTACATGTTGAGCACCCACTAGTGTGAGGTTGTGCTTAATAAGCATGCTACACACCATACAGCTTGATCCTCACTACATCGCTGGGAACTATGTAGGATTTCTCCTTTGTGAACTGGAAGAGATTGAGACTCAGAAGTATCAGTGACTTACCCAGGAATATGGAGCAGGATTAGAGTTTGAGTCAATCAGCCTTTTGTCCCTGTGACCATATACCCAAGAAAAAAACAACTTCCAAGAAGAAAACTTATTTTGGTTAATTGTTTCAGTCCATATTCAGGTACTCCACTGGTTCTAGGCCTATGGTGAGGCAGAAACATCATAGTGGAAGATTGGTGTGTAAGAAAGCTACCTAATTTATGGTATCTAGGAAGAAGACACAGAGGATGAAAAAACACCAAGGAGAGGGCTTCAGGGACCAGATATAGTCCCCAAAGTCATACACATGATCCATTTCCTTAAGCTAGGCCCCACCTCCTGTTTCCACCACCTCCCCAAAATGCCATCAAATTATGATTGCATCCATGGATCAGTCAACTGTTGAAGTTAGAGTTTTCAGGATCCAGTCACCTCTCCAAAGCCTATTAGCAACTAAGCCTTCAACACAATGAATCTTTTAGAGGGACATGTTACAAGTCATAATAGACTTTACGTCTCTTTGATCTCAAAATTCATGCTAGGTTAAAAGAGGTACAATGCTTCTGCCACAGCAACCATTGAAGAACAGTAGCCATGGCCCTACACTATCCCATGGCCATGGGCCTCAACAAGGGCCACAAGGTGACTAAGAATGTGAGCAAACTGAGGCACAGCCACCATTATGAATGCCTCACCAAACACACCAAGTTCATGTGAGATGATCCAGAAGGTGCCACCTACACCCAATGTGGGCCTTCCCATTCTCTAGCTTAGATCCATGTTAAACCAATCAGTGGGCTAATCCTGTTATTGTGTGCCCGGGCTGGCCAAATACCTCAGTGGATTAAAGTGCCTGCTTAGGCAGACATAAAGACCGGGGGTTCAATCCCCAGCCTGCCATGCCAGTTCTGCCCCCCCCGGGCATTCTGAGACAGAGAATGAGACTGGGCGTGGTGGTGCATGCCTGTAATCCTAGCACTTGGGAGGCTGAAAAACGAAGGATCATTACAAGTCCAATCTGTGTCGTGAGATCCTGTAGACTCTGTACTAAATACATTTTAAAAAAAGTACATCACAGTTATTGTGTACCCATGATCCATCCACCTCTCGAAGCCATATCTATGAGTGCAAGAGGCTTTGGGGGGACCTCTAGATATAAGCCATAACAGTTTCAAGGGATTCTGGTCTAGAATATGAATCTCTAATCTGAAATCTGAATTGTTCCAAAATCTGAAACTTTTTGAGTTTTGATCTGACGTTACAAATGAAAAATTTCATAACATGAAATTGTTTCGTAAACAAAATTACTAAAGCTGTTTTACAAAATTACCTTCAGGCTATGTGTACTAATATATATGAAAGTAAATGAACCTCAGGTTTAGACTGAGGTCTTATCCTCCAGATATCTTATGTATATGCAAATATTTCAGATTTGAAAATACTTGAAATACGTCTGGTCCCAATCATTCAGATAAAGGATATGCAGCCTTTATGTAAAACCAATGAAAATGTGATAATAGTTAAAACTATTTTTTTTTTTTTTGTGGTACTGGAGATTGAATATGGGGTGTTGAACATGCTATGCAAGTGTTCTACTCCTATACTTCATCTTAGACCTTTTTAAAATGATTTCGAAATGGGGTCTTTCTAAGTTACTTGGGGTAGCCTCTGATTTAGGATCTTTTTGCTTTAGCCTCCTGAGTAGCTGAGATTATAGGCATGGAACACTGCCTGGCTCCCTCCCTGCCTTTCTAAGGCAGTAAGTTTTGCCCCATAGGAAAACGTCATGACATTAAAGTATCTCATCCTGGAATTTTATATACACTCATACACAGACATGGCGCACATCCACATATGTGCATAGAGGGATGTATCCAAGCTTGTTTCTCTAACTGAACTCGATGAGTCAGAGACATTGTCTTCACTATTATATTCCTGGTATTTAGATCAGTGCCTCACAAATGCTTAGTAAGTATTTGTTGAGTACATAGTAGAAAATGCGTTGGTGTTTGGTAACTCCTGGAGTATCTTCGGAGTTTTAGGATTCCTAGAATTCTGTCTTTATGTTAAAAATTAAATGACTATCCCATCTGCTTGTATGCTCTTGCAGTCATTTTTATATACACTCATATAGGTTCAGGTAAATGTGTACTTACACTAGGTCCTTTGTGTAGCCTTGCTTCCTCCTCTCATGACAGTATGCCTTGATCAGCTCTCTGTTAGCCTTCCACACCTATACATTTGTAATTGTTAACAGATCAGGGATCTTATCAAGTTTCTTGGTATCCTGAACAAAAAGAGCAGCAGGATCACAAACTAAAGATCAAAGATGGATTACAGTGTAGTCACACTGCACCGGACAGAGTGGGCCAGTCAGAAGACCTCATAATCCTGGGGGCTTTGTGGTGAAGGTTTTAAGCATTTGGGCTTTGGGGAGGATTAAAAGGTTATTTTAGGATTTGCTCTTACCAGGGAGAGGCTTGTCTCTGTCCCTCTGTCAAGCAGTGGAGTTTTTGACCTTTTATGGCCCTTGAAGGAACTGTGGTGCCACCCAGAGGACACCAGGATATGGAGTAGTGGTCATTTTTTATGATATGGTAGTTAAGGCATAACTTAGCTACCATATCATAGTTGGCAAGGGTTGCTGAAGACTCCAGGTACATCCTGGAACCTTATTGTGTGGGAGCAGGGTTACCTGAAATGCTGTTTTTTCTCTCTTTATAAATTATCTAACACAAAATGAAGGAAGGAAAGATTTAGTTAGTTCACAGTCTGTGGAGGTTTCATTCTATAATCAGCTGGCTCCAAGGCAGAGTGGTATGACATAGGGGCAACAGGTCAAGATGGCAGAAGATAGCAGAAGCAACAAGAGCATAAAGGGAAGAGCAGCAAGAGCAAGCCTTTCCCTCCCTTACATTGTGTCTTAGTTACTTTTTTACTTGTTGCTGGGACAAATACCCAACAGTCAAAATGAAGGAAGGAAAGGTTTATCTAGCTCACAGTTACTGGAAGGTTCAGTCCATGTTCCGCTGACTCAAAGGCAAACGACAGCAGCTCATGTGGCAGAAAACAATGAAGAGCAGAGGAGGGGCAGCAGCTGCAGCGTCCATGAAGCCTCTCTCTTCCTTCTACGCTGACTGTGAAGACTGGCGATTGTAGCTCCTCCAAAGTGGTGTGGCTGCAAAGATCAAGCTCCTCTGAAGACTGAGACTTCAGGGCTGGGGAGATAACTCAGTAGAATAAGCAAGCACAGGGTACTGAGTTCAATCCCTGGTACTGAGGAGGAAGTTATCTCTGGGGCCAGGGAGATGGCTCAGTGGAAGCACAAGGGCCTAAATTCAATCCCCAGTTCCACAGAAAAAAAGGAGAAGAACTGCAGTAGGGCAGCAAAAGCTGGGCAGGGCAGCAGGAAGCCTTTCTCAATTCCTGGGCCCTGCCCACCTGCAGGGCTAGGCACCCCATGCTGAGAACTGAACTGCTAAAGCTGATTCAGCCAAGTGGACACAGTGTATCCATCAGGGCAGGTGTAGCATTCACCCCCATAATCCCATAAGCATTGGACATCGAATCAGTCACACAGTAGAAGCCAACTCTATGACTGCATGAGGTTTTGGGGAAACATCTAGACATAAACCATAACATTCCCCCCGGCCCCACAAAGATTCATGTGCATCCCTTTATGCATTTGAGGGATACAAAGCACTGGGACCAAAGCAAGTCCCAAATCCAGCAAGGCAAACATTAAGTCCTATAGTTTCATGTGCAACAATCCAAGGCAATCTATGGCTATCTGGATAGTACTACCATTGGCATTCTTACATATTTGTCTTTGTATATACAAACAAGAATTTCTTCTACACAAACACAACTACTAGGTCAGAATAAAGGAACATTTAAGATAGTCATAGGCCCTTGATTGGTGGTATATGCTCTAAGACAGCAAGGTGACTAGGGATGAGCAAATAAATGAAGAGAGTAATAAAATGTGTGGTGTTGCTTCATGGGGAGGGTCTGTGTGCAGAGCACATTCTGTGGGACTAAATGTTACAGTGGTGGTGCAAATCAGTAGTGGGGCAAAAGTTGTAGGCATATGAAGAAATGCAAATGGCAAGTAAAGATAGAAATGGTTAATCTCAGGAGTACAAAAGAACTTTAAGTGATAATTTAAAAATTCTCTTCATTTATTATATTGGCAAATTAAACTAGGGCTGGCACTTTTCTTTGTCAGCAGGGTAAAGTGGAATGGATCCTCTTATTCTGTATCTCTATAGTTAGCATCTCTCTTGAAAACAAGTCAGTATTATGGACCAAAAGCCTTAAAGGCATTATTAAGATCCTTTGACTCAGGATTTCTTTTCCTCCCCTGGATTTATTTATTCATATTTATTTAGAATATTGTGTCCTAGGTTCTGAGTGAGGTCCTAGAGAGAACCTGGAGAACTCAAGTGACAAGGATTGCTTATGATATAGTATTTATAAAATAGAATAAAATGTAAATGATACCAGTTGGGCAAAGAAAATGCATCAGAATGTTTGTCATGTTGAAGTAATGAGTTTGTCTAGCTTCTTTTTTTCATATTTTTATATACATAAGTATTATGTATTAAAACAATGTATATCAGCTGGACATGGTAGTCCATGCCAAATTAAAAACAAAACAAAACAGAAAAGGGTTACTGAGGATATGTAGTTCAGTACAGAGGCTCTGGCTTTAATCCCAAGAACCACAAAAACAAAACGTTTCTAAAGAAGGAAGCCTAGCAAAAGTTTCAGAGCTATTTATCAGAGAATCTAGAACTCACTAGACCCAGAACTAGTAAGGAATCTCTATGCACTGATCATAGGAATTCATACTTCTTCCTGGATGTGGCTTTTAAAACTGTAAAGATGAATTCTGGCTTGATATGTCTATGATTGTGCTTCCCCTATAAAATGTGTTTCTCTTCCAGTGGCCTCATTGTTCCTGAGAGAGATAGCAACGAGACTGTCCCAGAGGTTGTTGTCACATCAGGTTATGCCCTGCTACATTTTTTTAGTGATGCTGCTTATAATTTGACTGGATTTAATATCACTTACAAGTAAGATATTTAAGTCTGATGCTGGTGATTTTCTTCAAAGGGCTGTATAATGATTATAGTGATTTAACACTTCTATATTGAGGGCTTACAGCATGGCACATACAGTGCTGTGTAGTGTATAGGTTTTTCATTTCATGTTCTTTTAAAAACTCAGTGAGTTATGAGGAATATTTTTCTATTCTTTGTATGATTGAAGAACCTAGCACAAAAAATTAAATAATTGTCAGTGTAAGTGGTGGCGTAGGGACAATTTTAACCTAGGTGTTGCTGCTCTTGAACTTCTGGAAGACAGCGGTGTTTTTCTGAAATATCAGAGTTTTTTTGCTAAGTACAATTAACAACTATTATTAACTGTCATATATTCAGTAGTAGAAGAATATATTCATGAAGTTTCATGATAGTGTATTTATCTCCCCCTCTTTAAAATCTAAATTATGTCATTTCAGAATGCTGTCAGTATGGTTATCAAAAGTCATGTTATGAGACATATTGTAGTTAAACTTGTAAATTAAGGTAAATTGGCCTGCTTTCTTCCATCTGAAATCAGGTAGATACAGTTACTGAGGAACTTTAAATACAATCTGGGCAATAATCTGCAATGATCTTAAATTCTACAAGTTTCAGAAATTACCCAGAGTTTTATGTACCATGAGTATATTGTCAGTTCTGCTATTATGTAACACTTAGTTCTGATATGCTGCAAAATAGTCATCCCCAGTCTGAAGGAGTTAAGTCAATAATTTTGCACAAATTTCTCCATGTATATGTGTATGAAGTATGTATTTATTTGGTACAGGGTCTCACTACGCAATTTGGACTTGTAGTGATCCTCCTGTTTTCAGCCTCCCCAGCACTGGGATTACAGGCGTACACCACCATGGCTAGTCTCAGTGGCCACTTTAGTGTGCCTTAGGGCAGGGCCAGCATGGCATGTGCTGGGGATCAATCCCGATCCCTGCGCTTGCCTAAGTAGGTGCTTAGTTCATTGAGCTATCTTGCTGGTCATATAATTTTTTTTTAAATGTTATGAGTTACTTATTCCACCTTTTTCTTATGAGGATCCAGCAGGGCTGATTTGATTTGCTGACTTGTTCTTAGGCTCTAGCTATGCAATGTTGAATGCCCCCATTTGTTAAATACTACAGTTGGATTTGTGAGTGGACAGAAGAGACAGAGAAATCTTTAAAACTTATGTAGGAAGAAGTTATACTGAGTTAATTGACACATTGCTTTGTGTTGATTTAGTTTTCTTCAATGTTTTTATAGTTTTGACATGTGTCCGAACAATTGCTCAGGCCGAGGAGTCTGTAAGATAAGTAACAGCAGCAACACTGTTGAGTGTGAGTGTTCTGAAAACTGGAAAGGTGAATCATGTGACGTTCCTTACTGTACAGACAACTGTGGCTTTCCTCATCGAGGCATCTGCAATTCAAGTGATGTCAGAGGATGCTCCTGCTTCTCTGATTGGCAGGGTAGGCACTTCTTTTACTGACATTTTTCTTTCAATTCACAGAGTGTTCTCTATAGTAGTTTAGTAGGTGACTTTATTCTCAGCATCCATACACTATATGTTAACCAATATCAGCACTTAAGCTTTTATTCTTTTTTTGTATTTAGTACAGGATCTGCAGGGTCTCACTATGTAGATCATAGATCGGACTCCTAGTGATCCTCCTGTTTACAGCCTCCCAATTGCTGGGATTACTGGTGCACACCACCATGCCCAGTCTCAGTCGCCATCTCAGCGCACCAGGGACTGGACCTGCACAGGGATCAAACCCCCGGCCTCTTAGGTGCTTTAATCTACTGAGCTATTTGGCCAGCCCTCAGAATTTAAGCTTTTACATCCCTTTGTCCTGCTTCTTAAGTTTCATACATATGCAGAAGTGGTCTACTTTGAGTTGTGAAGGGGTTATTTTTATAACTCATTTATGAAAGTTGCAGAATTTGGTCTCAACCTTAAGATGACACTAGCTGAGAACCAAGATGGGAGGTGGAAGAAGAGCTGATAGTAATGCTGTTTAGGTTCAGAGAAAATTGGGACCAATTAGAATACATTAGAACCTTGGTGTAGTCACTTATTAGCATTATCTACATAAATATATAATTGAAGAAATCTTTGCAGATTCTTTAAGAAATGAGTAAAAGCAGTTGCTACTGGTGTAGTGATCTTTTTACATATGTATATTGTGCTCATAACCTTTTTATTTTGAAAAGAATTGTGCTTGTTTAAATGCTCTGATTTGTTGGGTTTGGCTGATAATGAGGAGTTAATAAGTGAATTTTTTAAAGTACCTTCTACCTTATAGATGTTGCAGCAGTAGCTCAAACTTCCAAGAAAGAAATCTCTGTCTTGCTTCTGTTAAGTTCCTTACTTTATCAGAAGATTGTTTTTATTATTATTTGGCATTCTAGTTGTTACATTTTAGCCCTAAAGTTTTTATTTGAATAATTATTTTATATGTTTGGTTTTTGAAACAAGGTTTCCTTTTAGAGTTTAGGCTGGCTTTGAACTCATTATGTAGTTACCAGTCTCAAACTCATGGTCTCAAACTCATGATGATCCTCCTGCCTCAGCCAATAGAGCACTGGGATTACAGATATATACCACCAAGCCTGGTTGAATATATAATTCTTCTGTGTAGTCTTTCCGCTGACTTATTTTTCATTACTGAAAACACCTAACCTGGGTGTGGCCAAGTCTTCATTAGTGTATAATTTTGTATTTTATTAGAAATTACCCTTGTTAATGCCTTGTATTAAAAGCAAAATGATTTGTCTAGTGTTTAGATGCTAAAGGAAAGACAAAATATTCCATAAATATTTGTAACATTTAGATGATTAAAATTTGAAATACCACAAACTTTCAAGCTGCAGTTTATGAAACTAATTTATGTTTTATTAGGTCCTGGATGTTCAATTCCTGTGCCAGCTAATCAGTCATTTTGGACGCGAGAGGAATATTCTAATTTAAAGCTTCCCAGAGCATCTCATAAAGCAGTGGTGAATGGAAATATAATGTGGATTGTTGGAGGATACATGTTCAACCACTCAGATTACAACATGGTTCTAGCGTAAGTTGTCTTAAATATTTTTGCAAGAAACTTTGTTTAAAATGTTGAAAATTTATAAAATGTAGGTAAATGAGAAGGGAAACCATTTTACTACCTGTGAAAAATCTGTTAGTATTTGGGGAGTAGTCTTTTTCTAAAATAATTTTATTAAGAAAGAAGTAGCAATGAGACAGTTTCAAATCAGGTTAGTAGGACAGTTACAATAACTAACACTGCATATTGTTGCCTTCATAGTAATTATTCATAGTTCAGGATGCAGACATGATCTCTTGTCTAAACACTATTAGTTCAAAACTTTCTTCTCATTGTGGGGAGTAGTCTTTTAAGCCTTTTTATATATATATGCTGAGTTTTTGAAATTGAGAGTAACAAATAATTCTTTTCCATAATAAGCAATAATTTATCTTTTTGAAAATTCTATAAAAATTTTGATACTTTACTTTAGGTACATATAGTAGATTATATAAATATAAGGTTACAGGAAAAATCCTGAGGGGATTTGACTGACCTTATCAGATCCAAAAGCTACAACTCTTGTTGCATAGGTCTTGCTTTATCTTGGATCTTGGTCTTAACCATCCAGCAGAAAAGTACAAAAACAAAGTATAAGAAGTAAAGCCATGCTGTTATGTTGAGCTGTAGGGGACTCAGGTCAACAATTTCTGACACTAGTCAAGAGGAAGACCCAATACTATTATGGACTACTGGACTCTTTTAGAATATTTTGCTGAGTTAGCACACCTATAATATTCAAATGATGGAACTAAACAAAAAAGGGGATACAGATGAATGTCCGTTTTGTATCTGTGTATTCAGAATGGTTAGGATAGATATATAGTTACGATAGAAGGATTTGTTCTAATAGTGTTTGTAAATAAGATATCATGTCCTCATCTTGTACAGCAAATAACCACTAGGAAGAGAGTATGCAATGTGTTAATTATTGAAACTGTCCTACCTATTTGATTTGAAACTGTCTCATTGCTATTTGTTTCTTAATAAAATTATGGGAAAAAAGACCTGTAAATAAATGCATGTGGATTTAAACATTAAAAAAAAATAAATAAGTAAATATAAGTTTACTTTATCTTTTAATTTAACTAATAGATTCATAGGTCAAATGGCTGGAATTTGTAATTTGCTAATGGAAATTATGCCACTGATATCTCCGAAGGTTCAAGGTCTATTTGCTATCTTCTCTTAGTTTGAAGGGAAAATATACCTCGTCATAGTGCCATTAAATACAAAGACTTATAGAACAAATGTATAAGCACTTACTCATGCTGATTTTTTGATCTGGAAATTTTCTAGGCATTTTCCATAAATGAAGATTGTAAAATACTAGCATTCTTTCAGAGATCCTGAAATACAGTAGTAGTGGCATAATCTTTCAGTTCCCTCAAATATAAGTTATTAAAACACACAGGACAGTGAGGATAGCAAAATCCAAACGTGCAAATAACAAAATATATAACTAGACTTTGTACTTCATCTATGGATGGTGCTTAGCTTTTAATAGCTCCAGACCTGTGTAGTGTCAGTTTCTGTGCAGCGAGGAGCAGAGGAGAGCAATGGGAGTTCACTGGGACCTGGAAGGTCTAGAAGGTGCTTAGTCAGGCTCAGCAGAGTGATGTAAGAACAATAGTCGGAATTGCAGAGTTTTGCATTTTGTAGTAGTGGAATGAGTTCAGAGAATCCATAAAAAGATTTGAAGGGGCTGGAGCAGTTTGTGACTTATTTATTCTCAAAATGAGCCAGCTTAAATTTCTGTGTAGAAGAAAGTTCCACTCTGAGGTGAAACACTAGGAACAGAATTCAGATTGAACAGGACAGGAACAACAGGTAGAGACAAAGTGAGAGACAGTTCAGGTAACCAGAAAGTTCAGGGGAAAGACTCACATGTCAACAAATAAGCTGCCACCACTGAGCATATGACATTGTGACCACAAAATGTGACTCAAGAGCTGAGAACTTAGGAAAACAGCTCTCTACCTGGATGTCACTGGAAAAACACAAGTAGAAATAAATTTACTTATTTCAAGTGTAAATATCAAGGGTAAATCTCATAGAAAGTTCTTGTAAGAAAAAAGAATAATAGACTAACATTTTTCATGCATGAAAGCATTACACACTTAAAAATATACTCATGAGGGCTGGGGAGATGGCTCAGTGGTATAAGTGCCTGCCTGGCAAGCGCAGACTAGGTTCATTCCCCAGGACTGCATGTCATGCTAGTCCCACCCCAGGCCCACTGCGTGGGCCACCAAAGGTGCAATCCCAGCACTGGGGAAGCTGAACCAGGAGGATCACTGTGAGTCTGAGCTGCATAGTGAGACCCTATACCAAATACATAAAAATTAAAAAAAAAAAAATATATATATATAGATAGATAGATACTCATGAAACATGACAATTATAATTCAATATTAATACAGTAAGACAATGTTTGTGATATGAAAGAACAATCTAATCAGAACTAGAAAAATTCAGAAATGAGAGGATAAAAATTTGTTTATTTATTTATTTTTTTTTTTTGGTGGAACTGGGGATTGAACTCAGTCCCTTACGCTTGCCAGGGAAGCACTTATTCCACTGAGCCATCTCCCCGGCCCTTAAAAATTTGAAAATAACTTCAGAATTGAAGACAAATCTAAAGGACACAGAGTAAATAAAAACAATAGGCATTGGCTTAGAAATAGGATATAAAAGGAGGAAAGAATTTTAAATAATACAGAACAAGGACTGAAACCTTTTTTTTCTCCATTAAGTACAGTTAGAAAGCTTGAGCATTGTACATAGAACAAGCAAGAAAAAAAACTGAAAGGTATAGAAAAGGCAGCCCCAGTCTGGCTAGCAACTCCAGGCCTCTTGGAATGATGTGACCTTCTGAAAGTTTTCTGTTTGCATTGTGTATCTCAGACTTGACATTGGGGAAATGGGCTGGAAATGTCAACAGGCAAAAGCCAACAAAAAAACTGTAAGAAAAACTTGTCCTCTCTCCTTAGCCCGAAGACCAGGAAAGGGAAAGCCTAATAAGAGCTTTAAAAAAAAAATATGGATGCTTTTTTAAAGTTTTTAGGTGCCAGGATCTTGCACATGCTAAGCAAGTGCTCTGCTATTGAGCTATAACTTCCGTCCACAAGACAAAATTCCCTTCTTTTTTAATTTTTCCCCTCCCCTCCCCTTCCTTCTTTTGTTTTGTTTTCTTTTCTTGACAAAGCTTGTATGAGTAACTTTCTTCTTCAGCCAGACACCACAGAAATGTGGTGTCTTACCACATGAGCTTACACACATGTCTTATCCACATGAGCCAGCCTGTGGTGAGGTGCCCAGTTCCATTAGGGTGTCATGAAAAGTGCCAATGGGGAGCCAGGACTTTCATCTCCATTAGGTGATAATAAGGCCTTTCCCATTCCTGCGTGTCATTGGACACCACATAGGGAATCTGGACCTTTGTTTTCACCTGCCAATAGTGGCATTAACTACAGCCAACCTTCTCCATCCCCCAGAGCAGTGCTAGACAAAGCCTGCTGTGACACATGATTTAAATAAGACCTAGATTCTCATGGCGTGGTACACAAAACATTCAGATTTTAATTGAAAATCATATGTTATGCCAAGAACCAGGAAAATACCAACTTGAATGAGAAAAACAATCAACAAATACTGACACTGAGATGACACACATTAGAATTATCTGATCAGGACTTTGAAGCTATTTCTTGATAAGGACTATGAAGCTATTTCCATAAGAATGCTACAGTGTGCAACTGAATGCACTTGAAAAATATAAGTGGTAAGTCAGAGCTGGCCATGTTGGCACACACCTGTAAGCCCAGCACTGTGAGTTTGAGGTCAGCCTTGGCTGCATAGTGAGTTCAAGGCCAGCCTGAACTACACAGTGATAAGATTAACAATATCAGTAAGAACAAAAATAGGGGCAGGGGAGATGGCTCAGTAGAATAAGCACTTGCCTGGCAAGTGCAAGGTTCTGAGTTCAATCCCCAGTCCGGGGGGGGGGGGGGGGGCAAAAATAGGGAAGTTAGAGAAGGTAGGGAGTGGATTAAAAATGAAAAGAATCATCTTGTATTATGTACATGTACCCACTCCCCAAGGTGATTATAAACTGTATGTACTGTAAACAAGTATCAATATAAAGTAATTTAAAAATTTTTTTAAAAGCACTGAAAAACAGAACTGGGTGTGATGATACATTCCTATATCCCTAACACTTGGGAAGCCAATCTGGGCTACATAGCAAGTTCAAGGCTAGCCTGGACTACATACTGAGACCTTGTCTCTTAAAGGAAAAAAAAAAAAAAAAAAGTATTACCAAAGAAATAGAAGATATAAAGAAAAGAAAAACCAAATGGACATTGTAAAACTGGAAAAATGTAGTAACCAAGACAAAAATCCCAGTTTCCCCAACAGCAGAATGGAGGGGAACGAGGATCAATAGAAAAGATAAAAATATAGAAATTCTTTAGTCTGAGCAATACAGAGGAAACTTTTTTTTTGTACTAGGGATCAAACTTAGTATCTTGCACTTGCCAGGTAGGCACTTACGTTGTGCTGTCTCCCTGGCTGAAATGTTATTTTTAAAAAAAATGAATGTCAGAGACTTACAGGACTGTCTTGAAAAAAATTTGAAATTTTTGTCAAGGCAATAATCTTAGAAAGGGCAGGCCAGATAGCTCAGTGAATTAAAGCGCCTGTTTAGGCAGGCACAGGGACCAGGGTTTGATCCCCGGCGTGCCATGCCAGCCCCACACCCGGGGCACACTGAGATGGCAGTTGAGACTGGGCATTGTGGCATGTGCCTGTAATCCCAGCTCTTGGGAGGCTGAAAAACAGGAGGATTACTACAAGTCTGATCTGTGTAGTGAGACCCTGTATTAAATACATTTTTTAAAAAAATCTTGGAAGGAGAGGAAAAATAATTTCTGGAAAAGTATTGGAAGAAATAATGACTGAAGATTCCCTAATTTGACAAAAAACCT